ATTTGTTAACTTTAAAATATACAGAAAATCTTTTCTAAAGCATCATAACTAAAAAGTGTGAATTTGTTGACTTGAACAAATCAAAGACTTTTTCTAGTGAATCTGTTCATGTTTTAAAACATTAAAGCACAAAAAAAATCAGTAAAACCACAAAGTCACAGAGAAACATTGAAAGAGTTTTTGGTTTAAATATTTCTTCAGTTACAAAGAATATGACTGCTGAAGTTAAAAATTCAGATTATTAGCTTTAAAAAGAGACCAAGCTTGTGAATTTACTCTAAAGGGTTCAAAAGCAGTACTTCATTTAATTTGTGTACTTTTTAAAGACGTTTTATGGTATTTTATGTCCGAAGGTTAACAGGTTAAGTTAAATTGAAAATGTGCTTCAAATCTTTGTATAAACATGACGATTTAATATTTTTAATACTGATTTTCTTTAACTTTCCATGATGGCGGGGTATGCTCGCCCCCAGTGACCGCACATCACTGATTCTGAGCCGTGAACATTATTTTGTTGCCCACATTAAACCCACCTCTTCAATTCTTAATGTTTGTGGTTTCAGTGCAGCTGAGCTCTTCAWCTTCATCTTCCTCCATCTACGTTCAGTATCTAAGCAGGATCAGTGCCACTAACTCCTGGATTCTTCAGTTAAAGGCATTAAAARGATTCATGGCTGAGATAAATCCACGTTCAGGTGAAGCTTTTAATATATTCACAGGAATATGAAGTGACCTATATTCCTGTATCAGCCGAGCCTTTTCCAACAACCTGCGTCCGCCGCAGCTCGGGGGATTTTAATTTCACATTTGTCAGTATTTCTCTGCTTTTATGCTGCCATCCTGGCCTCATCTGAGTGGGTTCTGTCAGCGCCTTTAGCTACGCTATTACCAAGCGTTAAGCAAACGTTAAGACTCCCCCTCCCTGCCTATTATTGGGAGGTGAATGGTTATCTGTAATTGCAGAGAGGGAGCACTCCAGAAGGCTGACACCGAGGGTTTCTGCCTACAGTCGCAGAAGAAATGAGTCCGCTCCTGAAGATAATTAGAGGAAAAGTGAAGAGGTTTCTATAAAAAGTGCCGTCTTCTCGCGTGTCACTCAGGTTTCCTGAACAGAAACGACCTCGGCTTTCTGTTTGGCCTCTGAGGAAACCTGAGGACCTGCGCTCCCCTGACATCGTGTTAAATGCTTTCTGATTAACCTCACAGTGGCTGCTCGCTGGATTTACTGCTATTATTGCTCTGAGAGGAGGAACGAGTTCTGAACAACAGGAGAAAAACTGCTTCAGACGAGCCGTTGTGCAGGAAACTGAAAAAGTTTAGGAGCAATCAGTCAGAGAAGAACGCCCGAGGACACACATTCATCAACTTTCTGTCTTTCATTCAGTCTTTTTCTCCTCGCTTCTTCTCATTCATCACCTTCTCTTAAACATGGAATAGTTTTATTTTACTTCATTTAAACCAGGGCTATTCAACTAAACTGCTCCGGGGGCCACAGAGAGGCCGAACATCCAGAAATTAAAGTCATTCTGTAATTAAACCAAGTATTACAAAGATCTGTTTATTTTGCTGCATTTKATCATGAATACAACACACAGAACACTATAAAAAGTAGTGATAATTAAACAATARCAAAAACAAAAAAMCACGTTATCCCTCATATTTAACACAAATATTATTCTGACATCTCTGACTTGCAAAAATTTTAAACAAATTTTATTTTCACTTTCATAGTTTTATCCTCAGCTGCTTGTAGTTTTAACTGTCTTGGATGTTTGTAGAAATGTTTTTACCAGCTTGTAGCCAAGATTCTGATGTTTCTGTAGACACCAAACATGTCTATGTTTAACTAAAACAACTCAAAGTAATTAAAGTAGAAAACCAGGGGTTTGGTTTTAAGAGATGAATGAACCAGTTAGTGGGCCGAACTTTGGTCACTCATGAACTAGATGTGGCCCGTGGGCCACCAGTTGAATAGCCCACGGGCCCGTGGGCTATTCAACTGGTGGCCCACGGGCCACATCTGGTTCACGAGTGACCGTGGGCCGCCAGTTGAATAGCTCTGATTTAACCCTTCATGTACCGCTTTGTTTCCATCTTTCTCTTCAGAGATTTCCAGTGAATAAAGTGTTGAAATAATTGTGGTGGAAATCTTTATTTTAACGGCAGAAATATGTGATCACAAAATYAAAAGGCACTTTGCTGGAGTCACGGACCTGAGCAGTCCTTGCTCACTCATATCAGTCCACCTGCAATGTGGCCTTGGTCCGTTGATCTCCTGGTGGATCCTGCCAACAACGCCAAACTGTTATGGAAATATTTATTTAACAAAGAAAGAAAAATACGTGGTCCAAGAATGAAGGTACTCTGTGGAATGATCAACTGAGTTTTATTGCAACAACAGGAAACACAGAGAACATCATCAACCACTGAACTGTACCCCTGCTCTCTGCTCCTGTTTCTGTGCTTCTGCCTCTCCTGGGACAGTTGAGAGACCTCTCATATACAGTATATTGTTTAACAAACACTATTATGTTATCTTAGTAAGATTTCATCCTAGGTCAAGGGAAAACACAAAGATAAACACAAGTGATATCTAAGAATGATTATTGTTGTTAGCAAATCTTGCTGATAAACAGCCTGTCATGAAAACCTAGCTCATTAAAGTATGTCATGAATTACGGGCTTAAACCTAAAAGTATTAGTTCCATTACAATATTATTCACAAAACAAAAATAGAATACAAATACAAAACAATACAAAAACACAATATGCAAGCCTGCCTGATGTGATGAGGGAGATAGTTTCACAGAGAGGGGGCATGAAAAGAGAAGGCATGGTCACAGATGGTCTTTCTTCTAGCTTTTGGAATTATTAATAGGCCAGTACCTTCAGATCTGAGAGAGCGTGGTACTTTGAGGTACTTTCTACAACAAACCCCTTGATATACCTACAAATATCTTGGAATTACTTTGGATTCTCATTTGACTTATCGTGATCATGTACAAGTCTTAACCACTAAGTTGAAACAGAAATTATACGTTTATTCAAAAATTAGATCCAATCTGACATCTTCTGTTTCAAATATCTATCTTCATGCCATTATACTCTCAACCATGTCGTACTGTTTACCTGTTTGGTCTCTTACAACAAATGAAATCTTAGAACCCATAGTTAGACTCTACAACAGGGCCTACAAAATTCATAAAAACTTCCTGGTTGGACTCATCACTGTACAGTTCTTTCATTGTCTGATGCCTTGACTTTTCAGAATTATGTTTTGTATAGTGGTATTAATTTATATTTTCAGATCTTCCAAGGTGCCAATTATGGAACTCTCTGTGCATTGTTGCCCAAATCAAATTCTGGAAGTGGTCATTCAACTAGATCTGTTACAAAAGGACAACTGATATTACCAACTTTTAAAAACTGTTACGGCCAGAGGTCTTTCTTCTATGTTTATACTAAAGCATGGAATGACATTCCTCAAAACATAAAGTCCATTTCAAAACTACAGCCCTTTAAGAAGAATCTTGTCTGCCATCTGCTGGACACTTTTTGTTCTGCTTATATTTAGACGTCCTATTTTGCAAATGCTGCCTTCCTGAAATTTGGTATGCTTGTTTGTCTTTGTGTCTATGGTGTATAATGATGTGATTGTGATGCTGTAATTCTGAGTGTTTTATGTGCTGCAGAACAGGAACCTGCTGTAAAACAGCAATTATGCTGAGTCAGGCTTGATTTTTAATAATCTTTTCCTGTTAAATAAATCAATCAATCAAATCAAATCAACACTATGTCCTGAAACCTTCAGTCATGATGAAGTTACAGAATCTAAATGTTTTTGTTGTGTTTCCATCAGGGTGTTCTCCTCTTCTGTGACTATCAGGCCTCGACCTTTGACCCCTGGAAGCTGCCCAGCCACAGGTTCGAGGCCATGGACCACTTTGCAAAGTGCTTCCTGATCCTGCGTTTGGAGGGCAGCAGGGTGGACGGGGGTCTTCACTGCGCTGAGGGGGACAGCAGGACYTGGAGGGCCGTGCGCGTGGACCTCGTGTCGCCGCCTGTGGACCGTTTGGCCTTTGCCCTTCTGGGCTGGACCGGCTCCAGGGTGCGCAGGACTCTGCAGAAATAAAAACATGTTCGGTTAGATCGAGGACAAAAATATCATCAGTTTTAAAACAAAAAAAAGAGCTTAATTCAGACTAACAGTCCATTTCAGATTAAATCCAGATTAAACTATGAGCTGCTAAAGTTTAATGAGATAAAAAGAAGTTTGCATTCATTCTAAATCCCTAAAACAGGGAGATTAAAGCAGATTTCTGACTTTAGACCTTTGATTTCTTCTTTTGCAGCAGTTTGAACGAGACCTGAGAAGATTTGCTCGTCTGGAACGAGGCATGCTGCTGGACAACCACTCTCTGTTTGATAAAACTCAGGTAGGTCATGATTTAATACCTGAAAACTGAGCTGTATTATGGCTCCGCCCACTGGGGGCCGGTCTGTGTGTTAGTGCGGTGTCCGTCCATCGATATCTCCTGAATGAAACGATAGATTCACCTTTAAATAGTGACTCCATTAGGGCAGCACTCAGTCTGATTGGATTTGAGAAGCTCATTTATGATGATTGGTAATGTAAAACTGGACTTTTTTTCTAATTTCTTGACAGTAGAAATGAAATACCTGGTTAATAAAAAGGAAACAATTCAATTCAAATTCAATTCAAAAATACTTTATTGATCCCAGAGGGAAATTTGATGTTTTTATAACTCATTTAACTAAAAACTAATGATTATTATAAAAATGATTATTTTGTGTGATACAAGCTAAATGTTTCATGGCTGCTTGGTTTGTTTAATCTGTTAAWGTTTGAGCAGTAAAAACTGTTCATCAAACCAGGTCTTACAGTCTAATATCAGCCTAAATGTATTTTTATGACTCCGCCCACTGGGGCAGAGGCTCCGCCCACTGGGGGCAGGAGGCAAACTGTTCCCTGGTTGTCCCTGTGTGTGTTACTGGTGGTCCGTCACACTAGTTGTGTGCATTGTAGCTCCTGAACGGAGACATTGACTTTCAGTCTAAATCAGGCCTATTCAACTGGCAACCCGCGGGCCACATCTGGCCCACGAGTGACCAAAGTTCGGCCGCCAATTGGTTCTTTCATCTCTTAACACCAAACGCCTGGATTTCTACTTTAATTACAGTAAGTTCTTTAAGTTAAACAGACAAGTTGGGTATCTACTGAAACATCACAATCTTGGCTACAAGCAGAGGTGTAAAGTAACTAAGTACAAATACTTTGTTACTGTACTTAAGTAGAATTTTTGGGTATCTGTACTTTACTTGAGTAATTATTTCTCAGCCTACTTTTTACTCCTTACAAGTAATATTCCTAAAGGACACTTTAACTTTTACCAAAGCCATTGTTTGGTAAGATACCTGTAATTTTACTGAGGTATCACTTGGTGGTACTTTATACAACTCTGATTGTTTTTGGCTCAACGGAGGTCTGAAAAGATTTTAGGGGTCAAAGGTCAAAGCTGAAGATCAGGTAAAGTTATCTTTGTTGCTTGAATGCTTTTATTTTGGATGGTTGATGTTAAATATCAAACAGGAAGTCATGTTTAGACGACYTTGATGTTGTTACATCTTAAAACTAAAGGTCAGCAGGTAACTGCGTGCTAGAGTTTTGAACGTAGACAAGTCTGGATCAGGTGGAGTCACAGCAGTCAATCATCCACRTCTACCTGTTAAATATGAACCCTCTGTCATTTCCTCTAAAGTAGTAAGTTTAGGTTCATCAGCTGTATTAAGACAGAGCACCAGTTCCAGGTGTTGGGAGGTCACCATCAACCATGGTTTGAACACTTTCAGAGGTTTTTATTCTGAGCAGCAGGAAATCTCCTGCTTCTTTTATCCAGCGGCTGGTGATTTACTGCCTTCAGCCTCTGAGCTGCACTCCTGAAAGCACAAGTACCTCAGCGTTCCCTTAAAAGGCGTCGACACGACTGCTCAGCTGACAGACTTATTATTCAGCAAAGAAAAGTTTATGGGACTGACAGGAAGACAACAGAGGTTCCAGGGAACCATCCGTCTTGGTGACAGGCGTCTCCCAGGCTCGTGTTTACCCTGAGCTCGCTGCTTTATTCACGCCATCCTCCGAGTATTTCTAACGCACAGAGCAGACAGGCGAGCCGGTCGGGCCGGGGCGGGACGAGGGCGTACGACGAATCGGAGCGCGGATCAACAGGGAGAAAACCCTGTCACCGCCGTGTCACCGCCGTGTCCCGCCGCCTGCTCCCTGGGGACGGGGGTCAGCGTCCCCGAGACCTCCGGGTGGCAGCTTCCTGTCAGATATCATACCCAGCAGCCAGCTCTGAGGCTGTTTATTCACATGCAAGGGCAGAGCCAGGCCCGCTGACAGTGCAGCCATCCATACACCGGGGGGAGGGGCATCACACACAAACACACAAACATAAAAACACACAGGTTTTCATGTAGYAACATTTTATTGTGTGGAAAACGGAAACCAGGACTTTAAAGGATGATTTAAGAAAATCATGGTTTTAATCCTTTTAAAGTGAGCAGATACAGACCACACTTCACAGGCTGATTCTAACCGCATTTCAAAATAAAAGCCTGAGATTTATTCATGGAAACTTGAGCAATACAATACTGTGAGATGTGTTTGCTCAGAGTCAGGCTACGTTCACACTGCAGGTCTTAATGCTCCATTCTGAGTTTTTTTTAAAGAATCTGATCTTTTTGTGTGAACGTTCACATTACATTTTAAATGTGACCTGTCAGACTCCTGTGTGAACTCTACACAGCACTGACGTGATGCATGCACAGTAAAAGATGTGACGTCTCATCAGCCGGCTTGTTTGTTTACAGAGCTAGCATGGATGCTACTTTTAGCACGTCAAATCTGAAGTTGTTGTTTAATCAGAGCAGACTAAATAATTATCTCTCTTGTTTAGTTCAGTGTTTATAAGTGAACCTGCATCTGACCGGATGCTCCCGTGAAGCTTTTTATTTTTGGAACGAAACTACGAGCTGGAAATAAAGTATCGACCGAGTAACTTTAGGATCGATACGCTCCACGACCCAGGCTGGACGTTATTATTATTATTATTATCACTGTCTAAATGGAAAACTAAAAGTAAAAAGACGAAGCAACTGGACTTCTTCAGATGTCAGATATTAAATCACGCGAGACTTCCTGAAATCTCGCGAGATTTCAGGAATGTTGGAGGAAAAATCTCACGTGACCTCCAGAGAGACATGAGTTCAGAGTAAATTAACATTTGCGACGAGGAAGAAACAATGTTGATCGTTTGTGGAATATTTTTACCAAAAGAAAAACAATTCCAGGACTTTTAACGTCCAGCAGACTTTCTGCTGAGTCGTGACAGTTTTTTTTTTTGTGTTCTGTATTTTGGAATCCTCTTCATGTTTACGTCACCTCGCTTTCTGATTGGCTGCACGTCTCATTCACAGGCTGAGAGCTCAGGTGAACACTACACACACTGTGATATCAGGCCAAAAAATCAAACATGTTGAAAAAGAAAAAAATTGTGTAGGTCGTGTGGACGGGTTCTTCTCTAATGAAACATCTTGTCTCTTCTCCAAGAGACTTCTTCAACTCTCAGACTGAAGAAGTCTCTTGGAGGAGAGACGAAACGTTTCATTAGAGAAGAACCCGTCCAGAAGACCTACACAATTTTTTTCTTTTTGATTTTTTACCCAGATTACTGAGATGCATCAGGACAAACATGTTGAAGTTCCCCGATTTGAGGTCAGAGTGGTCCCGACGTCCTTCTGAGCCGACTAGATCACACTTAACTCACCACCCACGGTGGGAATATCTGCTCAGATTATTTTTAGAGCCAGCACGATAATCTGGACTTCCTTAAGATTGTCGGAAGGGCACAAATCGGCCTGATTTTCTTGTAGTGTGACGCTGGTGTTACACCATATTTTGTGACCGTCATATATTGTGACCATAGGGGGGRGCTGTTGCTTTTTTTTAATAACAGAACTTGCCCGAACATGGCGACAAAGAAGAATATGATACGCCAAAAGTGTGAGCCAGAGGTGACAATATATGACAGCCGTTATCATATATTGTGACTTCACTCTAGCTAAGGAAATAGTAAAAATATTTATTCATAAATTGATTCTACTCATTGTTTACATCCCCTAATGTCAGAAAAATAACTTCTGATCACTGGCATGTTGACTATTATTATTATTATCAGTGTGCATTGRCAATYCAATGCACACTATTGTGATTCGTTTCACATCCAAGTCATCTCAACTTTGCCATGCTTCTCCTCCTGCATACTTTGTCCTAGAGCTGCCATTGTAATTTACATCTGTAAAGCCCCTGTGCCAAATGATGGCTATGCCTTTTGGTGCCTGTACAACTTGTAGTTTTTGAAATATTAATGTTGAAACTTTATTCCAAATTCATATGAGAGTCAATGGGGCCTTGTAATGGTCCAATACTGCCCCCAGCTGTACTCAACTTGGTACTGCACCATAGTTTTTTATATTTAATCTCAATAGTTCAGTGTTTACAATACCAATATGATTGTATTTTGATGTTTTACTATAATATTGTCCTAATACTGCTCTATTGTTGTAATATTATGCATTTTTGTGTCAATAATTGTATTGGCAATGTGGCCTCTTTCTGCACACATACAAACCAACCCCTGCCACCATCTTCTGCCACAGCTCCATTGGTCTAATGGTCTATGTCATGGACTTTCATGTGGGAGATCAGGGTTCAAAACCCAGCTAACGTAACTTTAACATAAAATCTCTTCAAATTTCATATTGTCACACAATTACCTTAATTACAAACACCTGCTGACGTGACAGGWACAAGCTGGTATAGAAAACACATTTGAACTTGGTCAAAGTTCATTCTGCAAGTCCAATGCTGCAGGCAAAGCCATGCTGCAATGACATGCTAAATGGCAATGCACACTTGTTTTTACATCATAAAAACCCATGTCTAGTTACTATTATTATTATTTCTACTATATATGAAAATAACTATCATATTATGTGACCCAGTACTAATTTAATAACAGTCACATTTCAGTGATCAAAACTTATTTTTCTGACAATAGAGGATGTAAACAATTAGTAGAAATGTTTTTTTGTATAAATATTTTTGCTATTTCCTTAGCTACAGTGAAGTCCCAATATATGACAAACTGTCACATTATTGACCATGTAAAATAGTCAATAGTTTTTTATTTTTATTTTTTTTTGTAAGTCTTCAGCCTCTGGCTTACACTATTGGTGTATCATATTCTTCTTTGTGGCCATGTTTGGCCAAGTTCTGTTGTAGAAAAGCAACAGCGCCCCCTCTGGTCACAATATACGACGGTCACAAAATATGGTGCAACACCGGCCTTAGTGA